GGAGTTTTCTAGAAAGCCACATAGCACGCAGAATTGTCCTGGTCGTTGTGGAAAGCCTTTAGTAGTTGGACAATTTTTGTGCAAGTGTGGTTGTGTTCCTAGTCGNCCCCAGTCGATGAAGCACATGATGTCGTGCCCTGCTTGCCCAAACAATTGCGCGCAGGAAGATTTAATGAATGCTACTGACAACGCCACTTTTGTAGCGGAGTTTTGGGCTGACGCTGTATAGGTTTGTTGTCGTTATGACAAAAAGAAGGTCATTTTTCTGAAATGATTACGATATCCACAGGAAGAGTGGGGTTTGTTTCTATCGTACTGTAAGAACTAAACATTATAGCAATCTAATCATACATCAATGTTCAAACACAACTGGGTAGATCACGTTCCGCTCGCTACTTACTGTGTAGGTCGACGACACGCGCGCGCGCACATCCAAGCCGCATTTCATTCGAACTGGCTCATAATTGGTGCGAGGAATGGATTTAGCTAATAATTGGCACGTGACTTTGATTGCTCTTTCAAGCTGTGTATTGACGGTGACGGTAATTAGAACCATCTGGGCTTTTTGGCGTTTATATCATAGGTCTAGCTCACATTGACATATTGTGATGCGACAAAACATATAAGTCTGAAGGAGATCTGAAGTCTCGCTGACGTTTGACGCTACAAAACCCGTGCGTGCCGCTCCCATTCCTCAAGCACTAGCTGACCTAACTGGATTTTCTTAAAGGCTAAGTACATAATAAACTTACTTTTGTCACGTGTCATCCGCTTTGCACTGGAGCGAAGTCGATCCTTAACTTCGAATTCCTACCATGTTCTTCTGATTAATTTCGTTGCGAGTCAAATGACGGTTTAACTTTCCCCCGGGACAAACGTGACCTTCACTGGTTGGGTTTTATTGGCGGTTAAGCTGTAAATCCTGTCTACATCACAGGAGTTGCAGTGAGAAGAAGAGGTGGGAATAGTCCCGTAACCAAGTTAGATGCAGGTCGCTGCCAAGTGGTCAATTTGGAAATCATTGTTCGTCCTGTGGCTGAAATGATGATAAATAAGGACGTACTTGAGAACGCCTAATATAGGTACCTAACTGTATATTCTGAGGAAGAGGAAAACTCTTTGTTTTATAAAGACTGCAATAATTTTACGGAAGTAACAATAGAAAAACAAGACCATCCGGTCCCATGGTTATAGGGTCTGAGTCACCATGATTCACTTCGGAGTGATGTTTTAATATTTCCTAGATTTGCATGGAAAATATTTTCGCGAAATGCTTCTTGCATTGAAAGTGCGTGCGTATTTGCGTAAAGAGTTCTCAAGTGACAACGACGGACCACTTGGTGGGCCGATGATCTGGTGAAGCTCGCCGGTAGTATCTGGATGCTGGTAGTGCAGAACCAGTCGTGGTGGAACTGCAGGAAATCTTTGGGATAGGCCTTTGTGCAGCAGTTGACGTCTTTTGGTTGAAATAAAGCTTCGTGCGAATGAAATCATTGCAATACGTAAGAGCTTTATAAAAGCTAATTGCAAGAAATAATTACTGTTGTCTATATAAGCCCTAACAGTTTCGGTCTCTTTTAGATAATAAAGATCATCTGCTATGGATTATTACATACATGACTCACGGAAAAACGTGGAGCGCGTCTCAGTGAGCGAGCCGAAACAAAAATAAGAATTTAGATAAAAAACGTTACGATACAAACAGTTATTGTTTTAAAATTCAAATCTCTCTGTTTACTTGCCGCACTCAGGTTTCACTTTCGAGAACTGTTAATTACAAGTTTATATATGTGTGTGTATTTGTGTAATCCAAAGAGATGAGCCAGCCCCATTTTGAATTTATGTAACGTAGGTAATCAAAAGTATGACCACTCACCACTGCCATACTTTCCGTGACACTTCACGGACCCATTTATTGAAGCAATGGACTGCCTAATATTTTTGTGTAATTTCGATTTAGTTATTAATGTAATTTTGAGTCTTTTTTACATCTCATAGGTACAGTTAGGTGTCTGAAACTCAAATCAAAACTATAGTTTAGTGGGCTTTTATCTAACTACTCAGACATAACATAATACATACTTTACTTTAAATACGATCTACCTACAATCATTGGTTTATAAACCCACCTTAAAATTATTATATTCTAGAACCAAATACCAATTCCAAACCATACAACATCTGAATTAAAAAAATCCAATCTAATGACAGTGTTTGGTCCCCGGGCTGTGGCGTAGGTCAGTAGTTGCTTCTCCAGTTCTTACCAATTTCACTTTTAAATTGTTCTTTAAATTGCCCATCGAGGCGTTGCGTGTAACCATACTTGGTACGAATGTTCATTGAAATCCTTGGGCCATTATTTCAACATTGAAGCCGGTTTTTGGCCTAAGCTACCAGATAATTACCTTGTGTACGGTTAAATTTATTTTTGACTCTACCATGGTAGGTGTTCTTTCATTCTCTTATGATTTTTTTATTTCTTAGAATTCAGACTCCTATTTGAGTAGCTTTACCATGAGTCTACATTAAACATTATTGCTAAATTAGTTCTTGAAATTAACCGCTAGGGGCGCTGTACAGTCTGTCATACATTTTATGTCATTTTACGCAGTTGCTAGCGAGCACACTGGAGCACACATGGTAAGCAATAGTAAGCACACTGTACTAATTTGATCCTTTTCTTCTCGTACTGTGGAAGTGAGGTCAGCCCTCTACATCAGACATTATGTACCGTCATAGGTGTCTGACATAATTGACGTGGGAGTGCTGAGAAGAATCAGCGAAAAAACGCAGTCACTTCTTTGTCAGTAGATTAGGTATTGAGGTATAATACCTAATTGTGTTTTATTAGTTAGGAAGTTTCAATCTGAGTATATGTACATTATACTTAGTTAAAACGTAGTGGAATGAGGGCTATCGTTTTAGCGCTCACCAGTTAGCGCCACTGTAGAATAAGGTCCTGTCACTTGCTAGTAGCGAAGACAGTGGCACCAACTGGTGAGCGCTAAAGTGGTAGGAGGACTATCGCATTTGCACTCATCAAGATGGCGCCACTGTAGAGTAAGGTCCTGTCAATCGCCAGGGATGCCAACTGTTAAGTATAAAAGCGATAGCCCTCATTGGAAGGCGAAGCAAACAAGCTCGTCGTGTTTAAACACTATGTCATCGATAAATATCTAATAATTACCTAGTTCTGTTATTTTGCCAAATAAAATCTGCCAGCAGATTTTATCCGCATAGCAACTGTTATAATATAGCTATAGTAATGAAGCCAGTGAAAGTGGACACGTAACAATACATCCGAGCTGGGTGCGTTACAACATTTACATCATACAGATGAATGCGAGTCACTGTGATGAGCTTGAGATGATGATTTTGATCAGCTCTCTCTTCAATGATGAATTTTATCCATAGTCATTTGAATTGACACCATTATAGAGTTAAGAAACTAACTATGCTTGCTTAAGTGAAGCAGAAAATCCAACGCATAGCGTTGAATAGAGCTCTGCGATTGGTTTGTATGTCACCCTGTTTGTCCACGCGCACTGTGAGACCTTGTAGTAATGTTTGTAAATACGGGCGTTAGATTTCATAATATGTAAATACGTTAAGGGCTTAAGGTCATAGCAGACTTATCAACTCGGAAAGGGATCAACACCGTATCGCCTTTCGTGAGCTGTCATCGCCTTTAGAGCGCTGTCATCCGCGAGGTGACGCGTTTACATTACGGTGCGGATAAGTGTGCGTTGTAGCATGGAGTTTCATACAAAGAATAGTAACCGCCTCGAGTTGATACGGTGACCATCCCTTTCCGGGTTGATTAGTGTGCTACGTCCTTTATTCGTGATAAACTACGGGCAGCATATCATTAGTTTATCTATCAGATTAACTAAATTGTATAGCGTTATACGTCAGATAAATATCTGTGGGTATCTTTATCACAAACCGGTGAAACTGGCTGTAACTTGAGTTTTCTTACTGCTGAAGCAGGTTTTTCTAGACACCATCAGGTCCAAAGCAGAGGTCTAAACAAGTGGTTTGACAGTTGACAATCGATGAAGTTTTAAGTATTTGGCACACTGGATGATCCGCGATCTGCTGTCAACAACATTGTCGATCAGGGTAATCGGTCAGCAGTCTACGAAAACAATCTGACAGCGAGCGTGACAAGGCATTCTGTCAGCGGTGCTGTTTACGTTTTCACGATTAGATCGCATCGATACAAAATGTAAGACCCACAAACTTGTTCATATATGATTCACTTCGACCTGACCGTAGAACAGATCCAGTGTGGCAAATCCTTTAATATCGTAGAATCGTTCATTTGTCATCCCATTCATTGTTCATAACAAATGACGGTCTGTCAACGTGTGTCCCACTTGTCGGCTCTACTTTGAAAATAAATGGAGTCATTGCGGTTTTCCTGAGAATATCAGGTCAATGACACTAGTTTAAGTTTGCATGAGACATCACAAAGGCGTGGAAGGAAAATAAATAGTTTTAACTAAAGATTACTTTAAAGTACCTAGTAGTCTAGTATCTAAATGTAAATCTTTCTCAACAATATTTTTGGTATAAGGTATTAGGGACATCCTTTTTATTATGCATAACAAGGTAGGTATTTGACAACAATTGCACCTGGTGTTAAGTGGGATCTACCTGCTATTTGTATCCTTATATCCTTGTATCATGGTAATAAATTAATATTACTAATATTGTTGTGGGTAAATAGATGGATAAAAGCACAAACGTATTTACTATCAATGGCTTACAAATATATTTGATTTAAGCCTGCTTGTAGAAGTTGACCTAAACTTTTAACGCTGCCGCGCTGGTCAGACGCGTTAGGTAGACCTGATGTCCACGCGTTTTTCCTTTAGTAGCCTCTTACGACATCCAAAAGAAGAGTGGGAGTGGGTGGTCTTACACTGAGAGATACAATAAATAATAATACATCCAAAATATTAATCCTTGTATTTAATCCACGTTTTCTTCCACAGTGGCGGACAACAACGGCGCGTATCCTTCGCAGTGGCTCTCATGCACGACCCGGAGCTCCTGATCTTGGATGAGCCCACTGTTGGTGTGGATCCACTGCTGAGACAGTCCATCTGGATGCACCTGGTCCGCATAACCAGCTCCGGAGACAAGACTGTCATCATCACCACGCATTATATCGAAGAGGCGCGGCAAGCGCATAGCGTAAGTCCTAGATAACTATAGTTCAACAGTTGCAAGACCCTGGGCTACTAATTTTGGATGAGCCCACTGTGGATCCACTGCTGAGGCAGTTCATCTGGATGCTCTTGGTCCGCATCACCAGCTCCTGAGACAAGACCCATTATATTGAAGAGGTGTGGCAAGCGCACAGCGTAAGTTCTAGATTTTAGTTTAGATGGCTATAGCTCAACAGCTGCATGACCCTGGACAACTAATCCTGGATGAGCCCACTGTTGGTGTGGATCCACTGCTGAGGCAGTCCATCTGGATGCACTTGGTCCTCATCACCAGCTCCAAGACGGATTATATTGAAGAGGCGCGGCAAGCGCATAGCGTAAGTTCTAGATTTTAGTTCAGATGATAGTCCAATAGTTGCAAGACCCTGGGCTACTAATCCTGGATGAGCCTACTGTTGGTGTGGATCCACTGCTGAGGCAGACCAACTGGATGCACCTGGTCTGTATCACCAGCTCCTGAGACAAAACTGTCATCATCACCACGCATTATATTGAGGAGGCGCGGCAAGCGCACAGCGTAAGTAGTCCTGGCATCTAGTACAGATAACGAAGTTTCAACTTACTCTAAGCCTGTGCGCAGACCAGTACTTTTAGTTGTCCAATAGTTGAATCGGGCTGTTGATCAGTACGAACATGTATCGGCCGATTCTTCATACAAATTAGAATAGGGCCCAACTATCGGCCAACTAAAAGTCAGTGGGCAGTGCGCCTAGGCGGCTAATAGCAAATCCACATGATATTCTGCAGATTTTGTGATCTAGGTATGCGAGCAAAGACGTACGCGGAAAGCTAAGTTTGGACAATTTGCAAGATCCCGCCAGAACTGGAAAGACACATCCAAAATCGTGTAATCCAAAACAAAAGCTGTTTAGGAAAACGTATTACAAAACTTAGACATATTTATTACACAGGTGGGACTAGTAAAACAGAAAAAAAAAATGTTTACCTACCTAAAGCCAATCAGGATTTCGAACCAATGAAGTAAATTACAAAGCAGCTGTAATATTTGTGTGAGTTCGACAAACTTTGAGAGGTCGTATTTAAATACAAAGCTAGTGTTAATCAATCTTGCGAGACATCTTCTCAGAACCGGCCTACCTTTATAGCATTCGCTATCAAATTATTAGGTACACGTGACGAATATCGCAATTATGGTCCAAGGGCCAGCGGTCGCGTCTCTAACAGCATCTAGAATGACTTGGGAAAGTGTTTAAATATAGTTAAATCAGTAAAGTAGGCCAATTACAAGTTGTTTAAAAAATTTACGAGTCAATTTTTCATCGGTGACGGTTAAAGTAGTTATGTATTTAGGTTAAACTATTGTTGCTAAGAAACTTTTGTAGTTTGAATTTGAAAATATCTTTAATTCTTATATCCACTGTTTTTTTATTTTTAAAAAATCTTTGAAAAGTAGTTTTCTTTGTTACCATACAAAACCATGGCGTAGTTTCAATAATCTTTTAGCAAATGCTGTTTCTAATTTATCAAAGCCAACGACATAAACTGTCTGCCCATCTTGTCCATTACTACTACGTATACAGTCACAAAACTTCAAGGGACCCTGTCCTCTAGTCTACAAACGTGATTTGAACCACGAGGTGGCATGAGACTAACCGCATTCCACCTCTATGGCGGTGTAGCTCGTTAAAACCATAATGTGACACTAATAAAATGGACCTGCCGTAAGGAAGCAAGTTATTATGTCTATGGTTTAGCAAGACATAGTTTAGGTTTTAACACTATAAAGTAAGTCTATACTTTTCTAGAAAAGTTTTGCTTTTGCTAGAAATGTGAAAATGGAATTCCTTTGTTCAAGTTTGTGATTCACTCAAAAATATAGATCGCAATAGCTAAATGATTAAAATGCTTTAAAACATCTAGTTGTCCTCTAAGTACTGATTCACGAATTTCGCATTAAGTTTCTGAAAAACCACAAAGCATTGTGAACTACATTGAATAACCTTGGATTTGACTAAAATTACATTACAAATACATACCTACAGGAGCTACAGCGGTGAGAGCGAGAGAACTTATCCTAAGTTTAGTAGATATTCGCAGTTTTAATCTGAGTAAATTGATTGCATCTGAAATGAGAGTAAAAGTAACCGACACACTTAAGTGTTTCTATCGATAAGAGATCGTAGAACTGATGGTGCTAGAAGCAAAAGTTCTTGAGCTGTGACCACAGACATAACAACGCAATGGGTAGCGAACTAGGTAGTTGTTTATTGGCGGTCAAGCTGTAGATCCTGGCTGCACAGGAGTTGCAGCCGTGGGAACGAGAGGTCGGAATAGTCCCGTATCAAATGAATGATTCCGTACTGTTCGCATATTTGTAAGATTTTCTGTACCTTTCAGATCGGCCTGATGAGAAGCGGTCGCCTTCTGGCCGAGGAGTCGCCGCAGGCTCTCCTCACCAAGTACAGCTGCATATCGCTAGAAGACGTCTTCCTAAAGCTGTCTAGAAAACAAGGTAAGGTACCTATAGTTAAAGATAGGTCTAGATCTAAAGTCAGACAAAGCTGAAAATTTAGTTTTATCAGTAAGTTATTAAAAGTTTTTAGCGATAAAAGTCGCTTCTAATTCCTAATTCTAATTTCCGCCTTAGGCAGTTCGATTTTTTCAAGTTGTTTATTTATAATTTAGTTTTTTCAGTATCGAGTAAATCGCCTGCCTGTTAGGTTTTTAATTGAAAAGCTTTATTGATGATTCAGATTCAGATTAACTAATTTCTAGATTTAGAAAGATCTGTTTTTTATTGTCTAACACCTTTATTAGATTTCTATTTTACCTTTAAAAGCGCGAAAAATGTGCCATAAACGCTTGAATTCAGCTTTGGTAATACAATTAGGTAGTCCAGGTAATCCTGCTCTGCCATGAGTGCTTATAACTTCTGCAACTCTCTATCTATACTAATACTAGCTGACCCGGCGAACTTCGTACCGCCTTAGCGTAGAGATTTTCTTAATATTTTTTTCCGTAAGAACCATCCTTGGACTTCCACAAACATTTAAAAAAAAGAATTATCGAAATCGGTTCAGCCGTTCACACGTGATGCCGTGACAACGCGAAACGGGTTTCATTTTTATATATATAGATTATAAATGCGAAAGTAAATCTGTCTGTCTGTCTTTCTGTTTTACTTTCACGCCTAAACCACTGAACCGATTTTGATGAAATTTGGCATAGAGATAGTTTGAGTCCCGGGAAAGGACATAGAATAGTTTTTATCCCGGTTTTTGAAACAGGGACGCGCGCGATAAAGTTTTTCTGTCACATACAAAATAAGTGGCTCTCTTTCTTTGTACGCCTAGAAATCAAGCACAGAGACAGGTCAGTAAGTAAAGTAGTTTAACCACTAGATCACCGTAAATTGGCCTCGTACTCGTATAAACGGATAATAATAAACAACGCTTGCAAAATTCAGTCGTAAACCCGACGCAGGCAGACCGGTCGACGTTTCGCAAGATATTAAAACGCGTATCACGTAAGAGGTTAAGATAGCTGCCGAGTTGACACGGACGTTTAAAGTTTTTTCCATTTTATATCTTAGCCTATTTTATATTTTACGTATTCTAAGGCGTGCAGTCCCATTAGACAGTGCCTAGCTATTGTTAGTTTTAGCACAGAATATATTTACTAGTACCTAACTGAACTACCTATACTTACTTGGTTTTAGTTACAAAAAAGATTTTTTATCGCTGAAAATCAACACCAAATTTTGAATTTCAATCACAACGAAGTTAGATACAGAGATCTAAAGTACCTAATATTGACGTGAATAACAATAGAACTACGAGTATTGTCATCTATACCTACCTACCTACTACTTATTAGAATTTTTTCAACTTAGCATGGCCAGAGTTCAAATGTTCTTGTTAAACATCAATTGTGGTTCTTATTGTACCTATAGATAATTTTCATGTAAAATAAACGGTCTTATGTTAAAACGAACGAATTATTACAGAACAGAATACTTTGATCATGCGCAGAAGATCACTCCTAACTTACATAACCACAAAGGTGTCACGAAAAATTATCGCGGAGTTATTCCAAAGTTATAAACATAGTATCATTTGTTTGCCGACGGAAACTGATTTCCCTTAGATGCTAGACTGTTTTAATAAGCGGGCAACAATGAAACCAGTCTTTCGCAAGGAACCCCATCCGTCATCCTTGGCCACAACATCCTATGTTTACTATGTTCTTCGATGCATTTCGATCGTCACGACGAGTTAATTCAATTTTCTTTAACTCTGTTTACAAACAATAGACTAAGAGCTAGTAAACGCCAGAAGTAGAATTACAGTCTAAGGAATACCGCATAAAGGCGCGTTATATCATTAAAGCTGATTTTTGTATTAATTTTGGAAATAAATAGAAGTTATTTCTTCACCAGCCAGATATAGTTTTGACCGTCCCAAACCCTTGCCAGAAAATCATTTAGGGTAGCTGCCAAAGCCACGATGACCCAAACTTCATAATGCACCAACGTTCTTACCTATCTTAGGAGCATACGCTGAAAAACTTTCAGCTTTTATCATCATCATCATCATCATCATCATCTCAGCCATAGGACGTCCACTGCTGAACATAGGCCTCCCCCAATGCTTTCCATGTTGCCCGGTTGGTAGCGGCCTGCGTCCAGCGCCTTCCTGCTACCTTTATGATGTCGTCGGTCCACCTTTTACCCACGTCTCACGCTGCGTTTTCCGGTACGCGGCCTCCACTCCAGAACCTTGCTGCCCCATCGGCCGTCAGTTCTGCTTACTATGTGCCCTGCCCATTGCCACTTCAGCTTGCTAATCCGTCGGGCTATGTCAGCGACTTTAGTCTTTAGTTCGTTTACTCGTTCGTTCAGCTTTTATACAATAACGTAAATCTGGCGTTCACTAGCTCTTAGTCTAAACAGTATTATTTGCGACCTTATTGCATCAGAATAAAGGAGACTATGTTGCTAATACTGTAACATTCTGTTGACCTTGCTTTGTTTGTTTAAGATCATCATCTGAGTCGGTGGACAGTGGTGCCGACGTGTGCAAACAACTAGATTGTTGCTAAAACCAAAATAGGAAAATCTAAGAATACTTAGCTAAACAATTTGAAACCTTTGTTTAGTAGAACCGTATTAAAAACAGCTCAAAATTCTTACATGGTTGGTTCCAGCCTTGCCAATATTTTCATTTCATCTGAATAGATCTTATTTGGCATCATCCGAAATAGCCTAATAGCTGGCTTGTCCTTGAGACAACCTACCCGAAAAGGCATATCTCTACCATAATGGTTTTTCTATCTGTTATCTTTATTTAGCTGTCACCCGTTTTGCACCTCAGGAATGACGATCATTAGCCTTTAAACTCCTCCTATTTCTTTCTGATTGAGTTCGTTTTTGGTTCAATGACAGCTTAACTTTCCTGTGAGGCCAACTTAGCCATTGGGTTGTATTTTTATGGCAGTCAAACTGTAACTGTAGAGATAGGAGTTGCTCGCGGGACAAACTTGACCTTTACCGATTGGGTTTCAAGCTGTAGATCCTGGCTGCACAGGAGTTGTATGAATGAGAGATAGGAATAGTCCCGTACACAGGAGTTGCAGTGCAGACATTTTAATTCCAGTTTTGACGAAAATATCAAGTATTCTAAGATTCCAAAATCATCAAAGCCACAATAATTTCAGTGGAAAATATGACTGATCTTAGCAGTAAGAAGAATAATCATTTGGAAATTACAAAGTGAGCTCTAAATGACCTTTAATAAACAATTAGAATCTTCATAATGAGACAGATTGCATTTTTATTGTTCAGTTTTATTGTAGTACGCAATTAGCGCTGATTTAAAGCAATCAGCATCTGCTATAAATATACAAAGAAAATCGATTTTAACTAAGAAAAATGATTGAACAAGCGATACTTGACACGCATATTTTTTTCAACAAGTGTTGTCTACCCACTGACTTTATTATCCAGATTTTAACTGTACTTACTTTTTTACATTGTACCTATATTATTTTAAAATCTCTACTTTCTATAGCATTAACTTTCCCCCGAGACAAAATTGACCTTCAATGGTTGGATTTTTATTGACTACACAGGAGTTGCAGCGGTGGGAATGAGAGGTGGGAATAGTTCCGTTTCTGTAGCGTGTTAATAAGCCAATAAAATAAGATTTCCGAAGCTGAAATTGCTGAAAATAACTTAGTTTTCAAAGCAAAGTTCTTGGTGGCTGATAAGGTTAAAAATGAAACCTTTATCGTACAAGCTTTTCTCTTTTTAATGATGCTCAAGTTTAGTAATTAACTATGTCGTTAGATTGTTTACTTTTCCTTTCCATACGAGTATAATGAAACTAGAATCCAGAGTAAATACTTGGTGAGCACGGAGCGTGTCGTGTCCGTGATGCATATCGTATTTCCAGTACTCGTACTTTCAGCCTCATAATTTGCAGTGAGACAGGTGTTTTAGGGCCAAATGATTATACTTCTTGCCGATTGGACGATGAAACAAGTTTGATGTTTTGGTGCGCAAACAACGTATTTAAACTTAATGATAACATAATTTTTGCATGTTCATTCGGCAATTAGACAGAGATCAAACCTAAATATACCTACGAGTAATTTAGTTTTTATTATAATAATTCAACTATGGCAAAAATATAAGTGCATTCCTTGTTAACACCTGGATGGACCAAGACAGTCGACTTCATAAAGTGAGCAGGAACAACTGGGCCAATTTAAATGATTTTGGTTTTAGAAGCTTTACTATACGGTGTGAAAATAATAATATGGACGAAATAGATAAATTAAGATGATACGACGTTCACCTGGTCATCTGTTTAACTATAACTATTATCTCGTTGTTCCCAGGTCAAACCAACCCAGTAGTGGAACTGAACGTGTCGGGCGGAGCCCTAGGGCTGAACAAGCTGTCCAAGCGGGAAGAGGCGCCTTACGCGGCCGAGGATGCGCAAGTGGTCGGGTTGAACTTCCAAGCCATCAACCAGAGCAAAGAGGTGCTGATCGTGGAGAATGGCGTCGGTTCTAATGGCGACGTAAGTTGACGGCTTTAAAATCCTCTACTATTTAATTATCCCCTGTGATCTACAATTTGATAGGTATCCTAGGGCAGGGTTTCCCATTTTTTTTTGTCAAGGAACCTTAGTTGATTATTCTCTTCCTAGCGGAACCCCCGTACTACTCCGCCCGCACGCCCTGCCCCTCCCTTGTGCGTAAACAAGTCGGTGCGTGCGAACAACGTCGGTCACGAAACGTGAGATAATATTTTTTACGGAACCCTTGCGGCCTTTCCACGGAACCCCAGGGTTCCGCGGACCACCTTTCGGGAACCGCTGTCCTAGGGTATTAGAAATATTACCGCTCTCTAAGATCCTGACAGAATAAATAAACAGATATAGATAGGTATAATTGTAGTCTCATAGTAGACCCTTGTAGGACCCCATCATACCACAGTTAAAAAATGTACCTTTAAGTTTTGTGAATATTCAGCCTCAATATTTAAATTGTAGTTTTCAACGAACTAAGAAAAATCTAGCCTTACAAACAAACATCGACTTAATCTATAATGGAAATTGTCATTTCATCATTCTCATTTGCCTTTAATTGTTTTATTCCAGCTCCCTGGGAAAGTTACGGAAGCTGTTACCAACGAATGCAAGGACTGTACCGACTGCTTCAACGTAAGTTTTTTAGCATGATTTTCACCAAATTGATATTAGATTAGATTACTTTTAAAACTGAGAGAGACGAAAAAAGGGTTATTTATTAACAAGTAAGCTTCTTACCACGACTGTAGTAACAGCCGAGCCCGAAATGTCATCAGTGAAGTACTAGTAGGATGACTATACTACCGTTTTTACTCACGAATTGTCAACCACAGAAAGGATCTAACTCAAATTGCCGAAACAAAACTATGCTCTTGACATTGTGGTAATAGCGACAGACTTAAATGAAATTAACCCTAGATGAAGCTAACCAAGTTTACTTGGCAACAGAAGCAGTTTTTTTTATCCACAACGAGGAAGCTCTTGGCCTGTATCTTACCTGATGGTAAGTGACGATCAGGCCGAAGGTGGAAGTGAGCTTCACCCGGAATCCTCAACCACGGAGGAACTGGCTATCTTACCTCTAACTGCCGGAACACAACAATGCTGTTAACATTGTTGTTATGGCGACAGACTTGGTGAAACTTAGCAGTTAAACGTTAAAGTCCTTTGATCTCAGTTTTAAATCCATCCCAACTAATATTATAAATGCGAAAGTAACTCTGTCTGTCTGTCTGTCTGCCTGTCTGTCTGTTACGCTTTCCCGCTTAAACCCCGCAACCGATTTTGATGAAATTTGGCATAGAGATAGTTTGAGTCTTGGGAAAGAACATAGGATAGTTTTTATCCCGGTTTTTGAAACAGGGACGCGCGCGATAAAGTTTTTCTGTGACAGACAAAAATCCACACGGGCGAAGCCGCGGGCGGAAAGCTAGTATCGTATAATTTTGTTACAGTTTTCTTTCTTCAATGTCTAAGCTACTTTTTGTCGGTAACAATAAGAGTTATTTTCCCTCGCAGCTGACGTCCCGCGGCAAGATCAAGGCGCTCATCCAGAAGAATTTCCTGCGAATGTGGCGCAACATCGGCGTCATGTTGTTCATCTTCGTGCTACCCGTCATGCAGGTCATCCTGTTCTGCCTGGCCATCGGCCGCGACCCCACCGACCTCAAGCTGGTAAGTTACAAAATCAAAATCAAAATTACCTTTATTTTCGTTCGTTCGTTTCAGCCAAAAGACGTCCACTGCTGGACAAAGGCCTCCCCTAAGGATTTCCACAATGAACGGTCCTGCGCCGCTCGCATCCAGGCACCTCCCGCGCTTTATTTGTGTAGACTATTTAAATTAGTACCACAGAATAATAATAAGTACTACGTACAGAAGTTTTACTTCGCGAAGGTATTTAAAAAATGTATGCTCAATGTCATTAACAATATGGTGTAATTTAGCCTGTCTCAAGAGTCAAGCACCATTTTGTTGACAAACGTCAGTGATCGGCACTGCGCCGAAGCTATAGGGCTGACTTCGGTAAAATGATGTGACGTGAGGTGCCAAACTGCGGAAAATGATTTATCATGAATTATCATGAATAATATTAACTACTTATTTACCTCTCAGTGTCTTGAGGCAACTTAAAAAGTACATTCTGTGTTTTTATTATTATTTAGGCAGTTAAATACCACACAGTATTTAGTACACCATTTTCTTTATTTTCTTCCATCATACACAAGAATACGCGTGCGTGAGTCAATGTTCGCTCGTATGTGAGGCCTTGTCGAATAGTACTCTTGTAGGGGGCAATCGTGCGTGTTTTGTTTTCGATGTAAACTCACGGAGATGAACAGGCCTGTTAGTACTTAAAAATCGTCAAATGCTCTTAAGGAGCCTATACATGTCTCATTCTTTTTTTGCCCTACCAGCAAACACATCTTCTTCTGTTCTTATAGCATTGACTTCTTCGTTGCTGCACTCTTTGCAGTGGTATCATCATCATCATTTTAGCCATAGGACGTCCACTGCTGAACATAGGCCTCCCCCAATGCTTTCCATGTTGCCCGGTTGGTAGCGGCCTGCGTCCAGCGCCTTCCTGCTACCTTTATGATGTCGTCGTGGATTGCTTAGTTAGGGTATCAAGTAGTCATAATCCGGCACTGGCCAAATGACGTCGACTGCTGGACAAATGCTTCCTTCAAGGATTTCCATAACGATCGGTCCTGCACTGCCCGCATCCAGGTGCTTCCCGAAATCTTCACCAGATCGATTGCATCTGGTAAATTAGAATCGTGCCCATGCAGTGGAAACTTTTAAAATGACCAGATGACTTGGACGTGGTTAATTCGTCCAAGCCAGATGATGATGAATGACTTTTTTCCATCTTGCCATTGAAAAAAGTCAAAAAGGTTTTTGCAAAGCGCTTTTATAGTATTATTTTTTTTACGCCATCCTTCCAGGCTATCGTGAACGACGACGTGCGAGTAATCGACGGCGACTGCCCCTTCAATTCCACGTGCTCTATGAAGAACCTCTCGTGCCGCTATTTAGCACAACTCACGGAACATACGCGGCAGATCTACTACCCTACCAAAGACGCAGCCTTGGACGCCGTGAAGGAAGGGGACGCGTGGGGAGTGCTGTACTTCAATGAGAACTATACGGACTCGCTGGTGGCGAGACTTGCTCTAGGTAAGTATTGAAAACCTACAGTTTTGTGACGTCAAACTTGGTCTACTATCCCTTAGTATGCACATCTACTACTCCTTAGTAGGCAGATCTACTACCCTACCAAAGACGCAGCCTTGGACGCCGTGAAGGAAGGGGACGCGTGGGGAGTATTGTACTTCAACGAGAACTATACGGACTCGCTTGTGGCCAGACTTGCTCTAGGTAAGTGTTGAAAACCTACAGTTCTGTGACGTCATACTTGGTCTACTACCCCTTAGTAGACAGATCAACTACCCCTTAAAAGGCAGATCTACTACCACATAGTAGGCAAAGCTACTACCCCTTAGTAGGCAGATCTACTACCCCTTAGTAGGCAAATCTACTACTCCTTAGTAGGCGGATCTACTACCCTACCAAAGACGCAGCCCTGGACGCCGTGAAGGAAGGGGACGCGTGGGGAGTGCTGTACTTCAATGAGAACTATACGGACTCGCTGGTGGCCAGACTTGCTCTAGGTAAGTGTTGAAAACCTACAGTTCTGTGACGTCATACTTGGTCTACTACCCCTTAGTAGGCAGATCTACTACTCCTTAGTAGGCAGATCTACTACCCTACCAAAGACGCAGCCTTGGACGCCGTGAAGGAAGGGGACGCGTGGGGAGTGCTGTACTTCAATGAGAACTATACGGACTCGCTCGTGGCCAGACTTGCTCTAGGTAAGTGATGAAGGAGGCCCTTATACTAGGTAGTACCCCTTATACTACCCCTTTGTATGTAGATCTTTTACCCTTCTTAAAGAGGCAGCCTTGGCCACGGTCTCCTTAGTGGATAGACTTTCTCTAGTTAAGTGACAAAAGAACCTATTTGTAATCTTGTGACGGCATACAAGGCAGGTCTATGGAGATAAGATGTTTGAAATTAACTGAAGCTAACACTATTCAAAATTCAGACATACGATTTCTTAACCCATCAAACCCTAAGCGGTCGCATGAGACTGCAGTAACAATTAAATTGATTTCTATTATCCTTGATTCGCGGGTACTTGAAGGGAGACCTTTTGAGCCCACATTTAAGTTTTCTCGTATGTCAAATCCAGGTTCTTCCTTCGTTCGTTTCAGCCGAATGACGTCCATTGCTGGACAAAGGCCTTCCCCAAGGATTTCCGCAAATCGTGCGCCGCCCGCGACCTTTACCAGATCGTCGGTCCACCTAGTGGGAGGCCTGCCCACACTACGTCTTCAGGCTCGTGGTCGCCACTCGAGAACTTTTCTGCCCCAGCGTCCTACCTAGGACTTATAGTTGATTTTTTTAACAAATCTTAATTTGCCGACAGCCGACACCGCCGACAACGAGACGATATCGTCGTCGGAGATCCAGGTGTGGCTCGACATGTCCAACCAGCAGATCGGGCTCATGCTCAACCGGGACATACAGTTCTCCTACCGGGACTTTGCTAAGGTAACATCAACCTCTTTACTCCTATTAAAGCCCGGTCTGTGAGCACGTAGAATTTTGTCCAATGACCCCAAGCTACCCATCCTTATCGCTCGCGCAAAATTATATTGCTGTCGCGACTGTGCGACGGGCGCCCGCAGTGAGTGTGCGAGCGCGACAGCAACATAATTACGCGCGAGCGATAAGGATGGGTAGCTCGGGGTCATTGGACAAAATTCTACGTGCTCGCAGACCAGACTATAGATGTTTTTACTTTTGTCCTTGACACAGCTTGAGGAATTGACAATATGCAAGTAGGGTTTCTGATTTCTCGACCAATTTTTTTTCTCGAGTTTCGGGAATTCTCGAAGCCAAAGTCTCGAGTTTTCTCGGGTCTCGAGTCTTTTAATTAAAACTGTTGAAATCGGTTGAAATTTAATAAAAACAGGTTTTTTTAAAATCTAATATACCTACTTTTATTGCACAACAATTAATATTAGAATTTAGTACCACTTATTTTGGTAAGAAAAGAAACAAAAAATAAAATCTTCTTTCTCATAATTTTAATATTAACTAAAAATCATAACTTAGTATTAACTAAAGGAATAAAAGTCATAAAGTCGAGTGTGCTTTAAGGATAAATAACAATAAAAATTTGGAGCTACAATTGAATCACTTGTTTTCCAAAGAACACAAGTTCAAATAGAAAAATTACGATAAATAGTTTTATAAACAAAAAACTTTTTTAATATATTTTTAAATTTCTTAAAGATAACGACTTGAATAAACGTATTTACGAGTAGGCACGAGTACCTAACCTAACAGACAGTTTACAAATTGTTCAGTTTTTTTTTAATTTTATTTAAATTAGTCAGAGTAATACATAATAAATATAGCATACTAGTAGGTGAACATTATTACTTAGTTTTGATTGAGATCATTACTTGCAAATCAATTCAGTTAAAAAAGGAAGGACTAGGCCAGTCTAAAAGCAACGTTAACCTACATATTAAATAATTAAAAACTTACTTTTGTCTAAGAAAATAGGCTTTCAAGAATATTAAAGCTTCAAAATCGAAACTCGAGAATTCTCGAGCTCCGGTAATTTTTTTCTCGTCTCGAATGAAGCCAAATTTCTCGAGTTTTCTCGAGTTCGAGAAAGCTCGAGCAGAAACCCTATATGCAAGGCATATAGCATGCAGAACTACAGAGACAATGGAGCAGTAATAGACTAAGAGCTGATGAACGCTAGACCTACGTCATTTTATAAAAGCTGATGTTTGTCAGCATATGTTCCCAATATTGGTTAGAATGTTGGTGCATCATGAAGTGTCGTCGTGGCTTTGGCAGCTACCCTTAAAAGATTGCCTGGCAAGGAGTTGGAACTGTCAAATAAACTGGTTGATGAGGAAACAACTTCTAATCATTGCCCAAATACTATGCGTAAAAATCAGATTTTATGGTAACCTGATGGAAATTGATGATCAGATGGAAGCGAGCTTCACTCGGAATCCTCAGCGACAGAAAATATAGGAGTCTGACGCAAAATGTGCATCTCGCAAAATGCACACTTCTATGCAAATGTAAAAGCTGAATAGTTTGTATGTTAGTATGTAACAGTGCGCATTTTGCGAAAAGCACATTCTGCGTCGGCCCGAATATTGTTTCCAATGATTTATTCTATCAATCCTAGAGTACGGGCCGATGAAGGAAGAAAGAAACAAATTGGTATAATCAAATAATCTCTTTTAACCGCCTCTGTGGTCTAGTGGTAAAACCACCTGCTTCAGACGCAGAGGTCCCGGGTTCGATTCCCAGTGGGGGCAGATTTTTCTGTTCGGTTTGGTTGGTGGTAGGGCTTGTTCTAAGTCGGCCTGGCTAGCTACTACCATCTTACCTAAGTCTGTCGCCATAACAACAATGTTAACAGCATTGTTGTGTTCCGGCAGTTAGACGTAAGATAGCCAGTTCCTCCGTGGTTGAGGATTCCGGGTGAAGCTCGCTACCACCTTCGGCCTGATCGTCACTTACCATCAGGTGAGATACAGGCCAAAAGCTTCCTCGTTGTGGATAAAAAAAATCACATATTGTGTTTCCAGGGCTTGCTTGAGACGTGCAATTACAACCCGAAGCTGGGAGACATCCCAATCGACTTCATGGACCCCATCTACGGAAATAAGGACCCCTCTTTCACTGACTTCGTCGCCCCTGGTGTTATTCTGACGTGAGTATAGTTCAGTTCGTTCGTTTCAGCCAAATGACGTCTACTGCTGGAAAAACGCCTTCCCTAAGGGTTTCCATAAGGGTCCTGCGCTGCCCGAATTCAGATATTTCCCGTGACCTTTGCCAAAACGTTGGTCCACCAAGTGGCAGGTCTGCCTACACTAGGTACGTCTTCATTTACAGTTTATAAAACCTCATAAATGTAGCAGGATGCAATTCGCTATCAACTGATCAATCTGGAATCATTGGGGTATGCCTATTTTCAGCTGTGGACGTCCTGCGGCTGAAATTATTTATGATGATGATGACATATATTATAAGTACATGTTTTACCAATTCACATGATCAGTGATCACCAACTGTTTATTTAATGCGTCTCGTTTATCTAATGTCTCAAACTTAAATGTTAATTTTTTTACCAGGTTTACCTAGTTGAATTGTTGCCACCATATTTGGAATTTTATTGAGTTAACATAAGGTTCAAAACCAATGAAAATTCTTTTGCTTTATCAGTTAAAGGGTTACTCTTGTTACTAAGCATGTGACTTTTCACCACTGTGAAGACGTTCTAAAGACGATTCGCACCACGAGTGATTTGAACCGTGTAGAACCAACCGTGAACTGTGAATCGTCCAAGAACTTAACGTCCTATACGTTTGGACCGTGATATGCAACAACAAAACAGTATTTTTATTTGTTGATACGAAGTGGCCTTTTGCACACAGTTTATCATTACACAGGCCTGCAAAACAAAATATTTTTTTTGGTGCAGCTCTTTTTGTATAAACGATCGATAATATGGGTAATCTACAATATATTGACATACTTCATTTCAACTCATCAGCTCTAGTTTGTCGACTACCCTCATTTTAGTTTTTTCCCCGTCTTGTTCGCAAATAGTCATTATTACAATAACATCGATAAACTTTATGTTACTATTTAGCTATGGCTAGTACGTCCAGATGTTGTGTTAACGATCCTAATTCATTTTGATAAGTTTGTTGTGAATACTACTGAAATATCAGCGTGAAACCATTAAAAACACGGCGAATTTTTTGTATTTTGCTTACTTCGATATTGAAATTCAATACAAAGGTAAGGTGTAGGTGCCTCAAATGGTATGTATAATGTGCGTTGAACATCTGCGAAGATACTAGAAAGGCACACGTAAGTTTTTGAAGCTTGGAGTGCCTATGATATGGCGAAAATAGCCAATATTTCCAGTTAATTTAACAGAAATTTCCAAGTTTAAGTACTGAAAAACTAAAAGCAGGTATATTTGATGGACTTCAAATAACTGTATTAATAAAAGACTTCACTAAATTTAAGATTTCTATGAACGATGTGGAATGGTTTGCGTGGAAATCTTTTGTATCAGTTGTACAAAATTTCCTGGGAAAGCATAAGGCTGACAACTATATAGAATTAGTTTAGGATGTGCTGGTTCAATTCACAGATTTGAGCTGTTATATAGGTATAAAATTACACTATTTTAACAGTAAACTAGATCAATTCCAACAAAATTTAGGAGAACTAAGCGAAGAACAAGGAAAACGTTTTCACCAAGACATAAAAACAATGGAGAATAGTTACCAAGGAAGATGGGACGCTCATATGATGACCGACTACAGTTGGAGAATCATGCGAGATTGCCCAAGTAAGTTTCATTCGAAAAAATCACTCAAAAGACAATTTCTTGATGTTTAATGCTAAAAAAAATATATATTCATTGTGAAAATTGTTTTTTAGTTATCTCGGGAACTAGAGCTGATAGAGAAAAACTGATTACATTTTTGATATCGCCATGCAAGACATACTTAAAATCAGGTCTTAAATCCCCGGCACCAAAATGGCTGTAGGCCAGTGTTATCATACATGTACGCAGCTTTTACAAACTTTGTAATTCTCCTTCCAGAATCGTGTTCTTCTTAGCCGTAGCGCTCACTTCATCAGCGCTCATCGTGGAACGAATGGAAGGTCTGCTCGACCGGTCGTGGGTAGCGGGCGTGTCTCCCGGCGAGATATTATTCTCGCACGTGGTGACGCAATTCGTGGTGATGTGCGGACAGACGGCCCTCGTGCTCATCTTCATGATCCTGGTGTTCGAAGTGGAGAATAACGGGAATATCTTCTATGTTATCATGTTGACTATTTTGCAAGGTATGTTTATTTAGATAATCTATAGCTATATTACAATTTTAAGAACACTTGTCTCAAAATTTTTGGTTTTGCTGCAACTTTTGAAAAAGCATTATAATTTGTTATCTTGTTTTACAATTTTTGGTGTTTGAAAAAGCATTTTTTGCAGTTGATTAAAAATATATTTTTAATTTTTAGGATGTCAATAAGTACTTGTGTAGGGTAACTATGTTACATAAGTGACAATTTCGAAATCACTTAGGCCCGGAGCGGAGCCGGGAAATGTTTTGAATAACCAATACTATGTCATTCAGATTGAATGGAATCTGATTGGTTATTCAAAACATTGCTCCGCTTTGCCTTGGTGGAAACCGAGCCTTAGTCCCGGAATTTCTTTTTTTTTTTACTTCGCTCCGTGAAGTGATTTCGAAATAAAAACCTTCATAAATGTTGCATTCTCCAAGCCTCATCTGGTGTCATATGCAAATTTAAGCCACGATAGCCGAACGGTGAAGGGGTCGGACTGGCCGACTCGTGATCCGGGGAACGCGGGTTCGGTCCCCGCCGCCGCTCGACTATTGTGGTGAGCTCACTCGTGACACAAGCATATTTAGCTTAGTACGAGGGGCTAACGGGAGTATTAGTAATTTGTGTAATAACAAATCTATATATATAAAAATGAAACCCGTTTCGCGTTGTCACGGCATCACGTGTGAACGGCTGAATCGATTTCGATAATTCTTTTTTTTAAATGTTTGTGGAAGTCCAAGGATGGTTCTTACGGAAAAAAATATTAAGAAAATCTCTACGCTAAGGCGGTACGAAGTTCGCCGGGTCAGCTATTACTAATAATCTTTAAAAAAAAAAAAAAAAAAAAGATTCTGGTGAAAAATAAACACATTTCTCATTCCAGGTCTTTGTGGAATGTGCTTCGGTTTCGTAATCTCCGCCGCCTGCGAACTGGAACGAAACGCGATCCAACTGGCCCTGGGGTCGTTCTACCCTACACTTCTACTCAGCGGGGTCATCTGGCCCATAGAAGGCATGCCTTTCGTCCTCCGCTACGTGTCTCTATGCCTACCTCTAACGCTGGCAACCACGTCACTTCGTTCCATACTAACGCGTGGCTGGCCTCTCTCAGACCCCGATGTCTACATGGGATTCGTCGCAACCCTCGTCTGGATAGCTCTATTCTTGACGATAACGCTCACCATTTTGAAGGTTAAGAAGAATTAGGTGGCCAAATGACTTAGGTCTATGTCTCAGTGTTTCCATATGAAAAAATACCATTTTAAAAATGGCCAAATGACTTCCGTCCATGTTTTATGTGCAAATTACACATCATTTTGTAAGAATTAAGGTGGCCAAATTACTTAAGTCCAATGTCTTAGTGTTTCCATATGTGAAAATTATATTTGTAAAAAGAACTAAGGTCGGGTGTTTTATGCTGGCCAAATGACTTATGTCCAATGTCTTGCAGTGTTTCCTTTTGTAAAAAATATTGACTTGTATATTATAGAGCGCATATTTCTATGTCTATGCTTTAATAAATCAGATTGTGAATATCAAGTGTGTGTAAGTGTAAGTGAAAGATCAATACCAAATTGATTTATACGCTTCGTAATATGCAGTTTCGAAATTTCATCCTGGATTTTTTTAGTTAAAATGATATCTAAGACACTTGCCCATCTGTGTAAGAGGAAATTAAGCGCCCACCACCTATTGTGCTGTGTTGCCAGCAATGCAATATCTAAAATACCCTTCTTTTAATATTTTTTGGTAATTTCATAAATACACCTGGCAACACTGGTCTAAGTCTGTCTAAGCATATCAGCCTTTGCTCAAACCGCTATGAACAAATAGATTAAATATTACTTATAGCTAAATGACTGTTAGTCGAGTGTAAATAGTAGTTTTTGTATTTATGATAAGTAATTTACAGTACATGCGTACTTATTAAGGTGGATATTCGGGAATGTTAGCAAATAATGATTGGTCCAACGCTTCTGGGTATTTACATTCTTAGTCTTCTGGTAAAGGCATTAAGATACAACAGATACCTGTTAACTGAGTTACCATAGAATAAGATGGTGCCATAAATAATGGTGATTAAACCTTTCTTGCAGAGAATGGAAATGTAAGGTAATTATAAAAGAATACGCTCAATGCAATCTACGTCATAACTTTTGACACTAAAACCATTGCCTACAATACGTGTTCGAATTCCAAGCAACGCTAAAAATAATAGGTGAACAAATCTACTAGTTTTTGGTGTTGCCAGCCTTTAAAACATTTGATTGAAACAGCTAAAACTATTCAAGCGTTAGCGCCATCTTTGAATTGACTTAACAATAGTATTTTTTATTTATAATGACAATATAAATAATCGTCTGTCACTTGTTTTATGTAATGAATTTATTCGGGTTTGTATGAAATGTAATATGTATGTGCTTTCACAAGTTTTTCTTATGAAATGTTTTAAATTATCTTTTTTAGTAGTATTTTATAAATTTCATACATTCCTGATTAAATAATTAGTGTTAAATATGTACAGTAAGTTAGAAATGTCATGTCTATGTAAATTTGATTAGAATTAAAATAAATTGGGAATCGCGACACTATTATGTATTTATTATCTTTTTGCATGCAATGAATGTTTATGTTTTATAAGACTACACATGAAAATACTTTAGAATCTCACATTTAATGGTAGGTTAGTATTTTTGACGGAGGTTAAATTTTTTTTTATTACTTTTAAATTTTTGTACATTCGCAGTTTTGCATTGTTTTGTGTTTTTTCTGTCTTTTTAAATACATGTAAAATGTTTTCTATGTTTAACACTGTATTGTCTCTAGCTTTGTATAAGATACTTTTTGAACGTATTTATAAAACTAAAAGGCTAGACATTTTTGACATAAAATCTGTGTTTATATTTTCTACGATATAATCCACAAATTATGAAACATATTTATTGCAATTGAAGCATTGGGAGCAACAAGGGCGTTCGGTACCGAAAGTCCGTTTTGATGTTATTATATCAAAACATGCACTGTACCATCTAGTTTAACATCCCAAAAACTGGTTTCGATCAGACGCTCCCTGATGGCATGAGAATAATTTATGTCACAAGTGGCGCTACGCCCTTGTTGCACACAGTAACAAAAGTGCATTTAAATTCGACTAGTATGCAGTTTTTAAAAACTTATTAATGTAAAAAATGACTGAAGACTAATTTTGAGTCTTCCAGTGACTTGGCCCCCTATTAGATTGGTCCACGGATCAAGTCGCCAGACTGAATTTTCAATTATTTATTCCTCCGGCAAATGGACTCACTCTAAGATTCTAGAGTAGATTTGTGTTGATTTGGTGTTTAATTTATTAACAAAAATATTGAAGGTTCACCTTTTTAGCTCTGGAAACTGCGGCAACCAGTTTAAAAAAGAAGAAAATATTTAAAAACTCAATCCGGCGACTTGGTCCGTGGACCTAGCTAAAAGTGAGCCAAATGAGTGGTTGAAACTGGTCCTGACCTTCCAGCCTTGGACACCGTGAAGGAAGGGAACGCGTGGGGAGTGCTGTACTTCAATGAGAACTATACGGACTCGCTGGTGGCCAGACTTGCTCTAGGTAAGTGTTGAAAACCTACAGTTTTGTGACGTCAAACTTGGTCTACTACCCCTTAGTAGGCAGATCTACTACTCCTTAGTAGGCGGATCTACTACCCTACCAAAGACCGGCCTTGGACGCCGTGAAGGAAGGGGACGCGTGGGGAGTGCTGTACTTCAATGAGAACTATACGGACTCGCTGGTGGCCAGACTTGCTCTAGGTAAGTGTTGAAAACCCACAGTTTTGTGACGTCAAACTTGGTCTACTACCCCTTAGTAGGCAGATCTACTACCCCTTAGTAGGCGGATCTACTACCCTACCAAAGACGCAGCCCTGGACGCCGTGAAGGAAGGGGACGCGTGGGGAGTGCTGTACTTCAATGAGAACTATACGGACTCGCTTGTGGCCAGACTTGCTCTAGGTAAGTGTTGAAAACCTACAGTTTTGTGACTTCAAACTTGGTCTACTACCACGGTAATAATATCATACAGTATTGTAACTTCATATAAACCGACGAAACTCGAGCTTTCCTTCGAAATTCAAATCTCGGTATGCGCTCGACATGCAAAAGTCGGGGGTGTCGCGAATGGGTCATAGTAATAAACGGACGATGTGTTGTTTTTTAGACAGTGCTTTTTTATAAAAATAATTACAAGTAGCTATTTATACAGGGTGTTAGGTAAATGTGTTTATAAGCCGACACTAGCCCATATTATTATTATTATTAAATAAATAAATAAATATGTTAACATTTATGCATGTAAATGGTATGGTGAAGTCAGTGATGCCAGTTTTAATTTTTTTTATTTTCATACAAAATAATTTATAAAATCAGATTTTTATGAAAATTAAAATTATTAAAATGAATAAAATGATGATACCAATTTTCCGACTACACCATACCATTAATATGCACATGTTAACATGGGCTAGTGTCCGCTTATAAACCCATATACCTAACACCCTGTATAAATCAAGCATTTTGTACGCCTCAGTCGAGGCGCATACATTTTACGGTCGCAAATTTATAAGATTTGTTACTAAATCTTAACACAAATATATTTTTTAAATTAAATCTACTAATGACAAGACATCATGCATTTTTATCCTATTTCATTCATAAAGTATTTTATTTGTCAAAATAAAATAAAAATTACAATCACAAAATACATTCACAAAACTTGATAGAAATTCTTAGTAGGTAGTTGTAATGAAAATAGGGTCTACAGGTGGGCAGCCCTACCGCATGTTGTCATACCGTGACGTTCCGCGCGGCTGTTGACATTTATTTCAAAAATATGGTCGAGTTGGAATACTGTATAGATAGTATTACCGTGCTACTACCCCTTAGTAGGCAGATCTACTACTCCTTAGTAGGCGGATCTACTACCCTACCAAAGACGCAGCCTTGGACGCCGTGAAGGAAGGGGACGCGTGGGGAGTGCTGTACTTCAATGAGAACTATACGGACTCGCTCGTGGCCAGACTTGCTCTAGGTAAGTGATGAAGGAACCTATAATCTTGTAGTATAAGGGGTAGTACCCTTTGTAGGTAAAGTTTACCCTTCTCAAGAGGGTCTCCTTAGTGGCCAGACTTGCTCTAGTTAAAAAAGTGTTTAGTGACAAAATAATCTTGTGACAGCATACAAAGTCTATGAAGATAAGACATTTGACGGATCCGGATATTTGAAATTAACTGAAGCTAACACTATTCAAAATTCAGACATACGATTTCTTAACCAATCAAACTCTAAGCGGTCGCATCAGACTGCAGTAACAATTAAATTGATTTCTATTATCCTTGATTCGCGGGTACTTGAAGGGAGACCTTTTGAGCCCACATTTAAGTTTTCTCGTATGTCAAATCCAGGTTCTTCCTTCGTTCGTTTCAGCCGAATGACGTCCATTGCTGGACAAAGGCCTTCCCCAAGGATTTCCGCAAATCGTGCGCCGCCCGCGACCTTTACCAGATCGTCGGTCCACCTAGTGGGAGGCCTGCCCACACTACGTCTTCAGGCTCGTGGTCGCCACTCGAGAACTTTTCTGCCCCAGCGTCCTACCTAGGACTTATAGTTGATTTTTTTTAACAAATCTTAATTTGCCGACAGCCGACACCGCCGACAACGAGACGATATCGTCGTCGGAGATCCAGGTGTGGCTCGACATGTCCAACCAGCAGATCGGGCTCATGCTCAACCGGGACATACAGTTCTCCTACCGGGACTTTGCTAAGGTAACTACCAAATCAACTTTCAATTAATTTAAATGTTCATGATGAATGTTTTATTGCTATTCCACACGTTATAAAAGATCTTCAAAAATGGACTGTGGTATGGACCCAGAAAAAAATTATGGACTATGTTACTCCTATTAGTTTCTTTTTTTAACCACAACGGGGACGATTCCGGAATTCTAACAACAAAAGAACTGGCTATCATATCTCCAGTTGCCAAAACACAACAATACTGCTAAATGTCTGTTTTACCCCATTTGCCATAAATGTATGTATCTACTTTAGGTCAAGCTACTTTTTTTGAAGATGGCAAATAAGTTTCAGGTAGTAACGAGGCTTTTATTTTCATAAAAAATATAATACGTCCCTTTCTATCATCTTTCCATACATATAGTCCTCCAGGATACTGCATCACATGTGGACGTGCGAAAAACCAACCCACCAAACCCCAAGCGGTCCTGTAAAAACTAAGCGCGTAAATTTTTATTGTGTCTCGATTTCCGGGGCTTGAAGGGTTACGTAATAAATCAATCACATATTGTGTTTCCAGGGCTTGCTCGAGACGTGCAACTACAACCCCAAGCTGGGAGACATTCCCATCGACTTCATGGACCCCATCTACGGGAATAAGGACCCCTCATTCACTGACTTCGTCGCCCCTGGTGTTATTCTGACGTGAGTATAGTTCAGTTTGTTGATTTAAGCTAAATGACGTCCACTACTACAAAGGCCTAAGGATTTCCATAAGGGTCCTGCGCTGCCCGAATCCAGGTATTTCCCGTGACCTTCACCAAATCGTTGGTCCACCAAGTGGGAGGCCTGCCTGACACTACGTCTTCATTTACAGTTCATAAAACCTCATAAATGTAGCAGGAGGGCACTGGATGCAAGTCGCTACCAACCGATCAATCTGGGAATCATTGGGGGATGCCTATGTTCAGCTGTGGACATTCTGCGGCTTAAATTATTATGATGATAAGGAATATAGGTATAGAAATTCCTAACTCACATGATCGTCGCCTGTCTTTGAGTCTTGTCTCGTCGAGCCTAGACAGTTAAATCCAATGTCTTTTTATTTTGTTAATGGTGATGAGCTTATCTTTTCACCACTGAGTTTGAAGGTGTTTCGCACCATGAGTGATTTGGACCGCGGTGGAATTTCTCAAGTGGTCTCTTTAAAGGTCACTAATGTAAATCGTCCGAGGATTTTTATAAGTATTTGATTGATGCGGGCCGTGATAGACAACAAAACAGTTTTTATTGTATGGTCATACGAAAACTTTGGCAATTTGCACCGGGGTCTAAATGGCCCAAAAGCCCACTTTTTAAAAGCGCTTTTAAAGCCTTCGTTTCAGCCGAAAGACGTCCACTGCTGGACAAAGGCCTCCCCCAAGGATTTCCACAAAGAGCGATCCTGCGCCGCTCGCATCCAGGCGCCTCCCGCGACCTTCACCAGATCGTCGGTCCACCTAGTGCGAGGCCTGCCCACGCTACGTCTTCCGGCTCGCGGTCGCCACTCAAGAACTGTCCTTTTTAAAGCCTATCTGCAAATAATAAATAAACTTTAAATTTCTCCTTCCAGAATCGTGTTCTTCTTAGCCGTGGCTCTCACCTCATCAGCGCTCATCGTGGAACGTATGGAAGGTTTACTCGACCGCTCGTGGGTAGCGGGCGTGTCTCCCGGCGAGATATTGTTCTCGCACGTGGTGACGCAATTCGTGGTGATGTGCGGACAGACGGCCCTCGTGCTCATCTTCATGATCCTGGTGTTCGAAGTGGAGAATAACGGGAATATCTTCTATGTTATCATGTTGACTATTTTGCAAGGTATGTTGTTTGGTTTATTATAAGGCCAGCTACACGCGAAGACTAGTGCAAGATTATAAGTACATGGTTACAAAAACGACATGTAAATTCTATTTTCATAACTGGTTATCAAGCAAGAAAAAAAAATCCATGTTCGTAGCTGGTTATCAAATTTCAGTTACGAACGTGGATTAAACGGGCATAATCCTACATTTGTCTTAGTAAATAATAGGGTCGTGCTCTGTATAATTGACTTACCAAAGAATTGAATTAGAAACATAATGCATTTCTTGATTGTAATTTTATATTATTCTGTTTGTAAAAAGTAAAATAAAAAAATCCTATTGCAAATTAAACTCGATTAAGAAGGGTTCCATACTACTGCACTGATATCTTAGATCCTGTCGCTGTTATTTGAATTCTATTAGGACGGTTGAAATTAATGATGTACCCTGTTATAGGTCTCTGCGGAATGTGCTTCGGCTTCGTAATCTCCGCCGCCTGCGAATTGGAACGGAACGCGATCCAACTGGCCCTGGGGTCGTTCTACCCTACACTTCTCCTCAGCGGGGTCATCTGGCCCATAGAAGGCATGCCTTTCGTCCTCCGCTACGTGTCTCTGTGCCTACCTCTAACGCTAGCAACCACGTCTCTTCGTTCCATACTAACGCGTGGCTGGCCTCTCTCAGACCCCGATGTCTACATGGGATTCGTCGCAACCCTCGTCTGGATAGCTCTATTCTTGACGATAACGCTCACCATTTTGAAGGTTAAGAAGAATTAGGTGTTAGGTGGCCAAACGACTTAGGTCTATGTCTCAGTGTTTCCATATGAAAAATTACCGTTTTAAAAATGGCCAAATGACTTTCGTCCATGTTTTATGTGAAAATTACACACCGTTTAAAAATGGCCAAATGACTTTCATCCATGTTTTACGTGAAAATTGCACATCATTTTGTAAGAATTAAGGTGGCCAAATTACATAAGTCCAATGTCTTAGTGTTTCCATATGTGAAAATTATATTTGTAAAAAGAACTAAGGTCGGGTGTTTTATGCTGGCCAAATGACTTATGTCCAATGTCTTGCAATGTTTCCATAAGTAAAAATATTGACTTGTATATTATAGAGCGCATATTTCCTTGTCTATGCTTTAATAAATCAGATTGTTAATGCCAAGTTTGTATAAGTGTAAGTGAAAGATCAATACCAAATTGATTTATACGCTTCATAATATGCAAATTCGAAATGATATTCTAGATTTGATATGATATAAGACACTTGCCCATCTGTGTAAGAGGAAATTAAGCGCCCACCACCTATTGTGCTGTGTTGCCAGCAATGCAATATCTAAAATACCCTTCTTTTAATATTTTTTGGTAATTTCATAAATACACCTGGCAACACTGATCTAAGTCTGTCTAAGCATATCAGCCTTTGCTCAAACCGCTATGAACAAATAGATTAAATATTACTTATAGCTAAATGACTGTTAGTCGAGTGTAAATAGTAGTTTTTGTATTTATGATAAGTAATTAGGAGTACATGCGTACTTATTAAGGTGGATATTCGGGAATGTTAGCAAATAATGATTGGTCCAACGCTTCTGGGTATTTACATCCTTAGTCTTCTGGTAAAGGCATTAAGAATTTAAGATACAACAGATACCTGTTAACTGAGTTACCATAGAATAAGATGGTGCCATAAATAATGGTGATTAAACCTTTCTTGCAGAGAATGGAAATGTGAGGTAATTATAAAAGAATACGCTCAATGCAATCTACGTCATAACTTTTGACACTAAAACCATTGCCTACAATACGTGTTCGAATTCCAAGCAACGCTAAAAATAATAGGTGAAGAAATCTACTAGTTTTTGGTGTTGCCAGCCTTTAAAACATTTGATTGAAACAGCTAAAACTATACAAGCGTTAGCGCCATCTTTGAATTGACTTAACAATAGTATTTTTTATTTATAATGACAATATAAATAATCGTCTGTCACTTGTTTTATGTAATGAATTTATTCGGGTTTGTATGAAATGTAATATGTATGTACTTTCACAAGTTTTTCTTATTAAATGTTTTAAATTATCTTTTTTAGTAGTATTTCATAAATTTCATACATTCCTGATTAAATAATTAGTGTTAATTATGTACAGTAAGTTAGAACATGTCATGTCTATGTAAATTTGATTAGAATTAAAATAAATTGGGAATCGCGACACTATTATGTATTTATTATCTTTTTGCATGCAATGAATGTTTATGTTTTATAAGACTACACATGAAAATACTTTAGAATCTCACATTTAATGGTAGGTTAGTATTTTTGACGGAGGTTAAATCTTTTTTATTACATTTTAGATTTTTGTACATTCGCAGTTTTGCAATTTTTTGTGTTTTTTCTGTCTTTGTAAAATGTTTTCTATGTTTAACACTGTGTTGTCTCTAGCTTTGTATAAGATACTTTTTGAACGTATTTATAAAACTAAAAGGCTAGACATTTTTGACATAAAATCTGTGTTTATATTTTCTACGATATAATCCACAAATTATTAAACATATTTATTGCAATTGCTATTTATATTCTTGTTATTACAAAAAGAGGGTTACGTCAAAACTCTTTGATCTATGAACTGTCAATGTCAAACTCGTTCTGTCAAATCTAACCAATGGGGACGGGGCTATTAACCCATAGCATGTCAGGCCAATTGGGGGTCAGTAAATGTTGGTCTACAGTTTTCGGTACCGCAATATTTCGAATGACCTGCGTAGTTGTATGTAGCAATAAAGTGTCGACTGTGATTATTTTTGCTAACATTGACATTTTTTGTAATAAAATGACAATTATACAATAACTTGTACCAAACTTGTGTTTCTTTATACCTTTTCTGTCCTTATTCCCAGTAGTATTACAGAGTAGTGTTACCAGTAGGAATAACGGGAATTATGTTTTACTGGTAAGTCTACTGTAAAGGAAATTCTCAGTAGTTCAACTGGTGAGACTACTGGGAATAGGGCCTTTTTTGCTGTTTATAAAATATTGTTAAACCTTGACCCTGTTCATCATACTTTTGTATGTGTACCCAATGTTTTAAAACTCTATGTCAAATGTATGAATAAAATAATTCTGAATCAATATAAAACTTAAAAAAACTGTCTCAAGTGGGTATTGAACCCACACCCACCCACAACCCTTTATTGCAATAAAATTTCGAAGTTTTAATTTAGAGAAAAAATATCGAAACAAGTTATGTTGTAAAACATTTTATTTTAAAAATCACAGTTGTGAGTAAATTCCAAAGAAAATGTACTATCTTAAAATCTTAATTTAACGAATTTCAATAAGAATAGCGAATAATTAAAACAATAACTTACATAAAAATAAGAACAACACGGAACAAGGACGTCTACTTAGTTAAGATTTCGCTGAGGGCCTTTCGCTTCTTCTGGCCTTTGTTGAATGTGTGTTTCTGGAAAGATTAATAAATATTTAAATTAGTAGGTAACATCTGAAAAAACGATTATTATTATTAAAAGATTGCGTGGGAAAGTTAAAACTTCGACGTCAAATTGACTAATGTTAACCCTTTATACGGCAGTGGGAAAATAGTTCCCACCATACTTTGAACTTTATTCCTATCATATTGCTGTCTGTAATGTTTTCATGACAATCCAGCAAAACATAAATGTTATTATACCTTTTTCTTCTCTGCTGTCATTCCAACGAATTCCTTCCTGGTTTTCTTTTCTTTTTGTGGTTGATTCAACTGATTTGGCCTCTTGCTGGGGGGTCCATCGCCACTCTCCTGTAAAATGTTTAGTTAATTATTTATTTGCTTTCAAACATGGTGTGAATGTTTTGTCCTCATGTTTAACAATAAACAAGTAAATACAGAACAACCATACCTGGAACTTTCTCTTGTTCATTATCCTTCTGTGCGCGCCCTCACCGACTGCGTCATTGCTCTGTCCTTGTCCTGATTTGAATCCCCCTTTTCCCCCAAACCTTCCCCCCTGATTTTTGGGCGGGAAATTCTGATTCTTCCCCTTGAACCCTTGATTGTTCCCTTGGAAACCTTGATTCCTCCCTTGAAAGTTCTGATTCCTGCCTTGCAAGTTCCTTCCATTTCCTGTTTGATTTTTTTGGTTCTGCGTGAGTTGTGTGCATCGCTTCACGCGGAGGATTCTGTTCTTTATCGTGAGGTCTTCTTCAGTTAGCGCTAACGCTAATTCGACGCCGTCTTTCGATGCGAAATTTACGTATGCAAAACCTGAAAAAGTTAACATTAGAATTACATGATTATAACATAAAAAGCAGCGTCTTTATATTCTCATTGTGATATTTTGCAAAAATACAGTATAATAATTATGTTCTATAGACTGTAAATGCAGAAGTTTATAAAAGTAAATAAATAAAATTAGATTTTGTAATAAACAATTAACAGCTAACCTTTGCCAGCGTTCGTTTTCTTATCCCTAACAATCCTGACGGACTCAATTTCCCCGCACTGTTCGAACTTAGCTCTCAACGCTTCGTCCTCCAAAGCAAATGGGACGTTGCCAACGAATATGGAGCATCTTGGGTCGTGTTGTGCGCCCGTGGAGTCGCTGCGAGACACTCTGAGGTGGCAGTCGTTGAGAACTGTGTTGTTTTCTACTAAGGCCTGTAAGATAGGGGGTTAAATTAGTACAGCAAGCAATGGTAGGCCATAGCAGGGGTAGGGTTTATGCGAAAATATGTATGTTGGGTCATGTAAAAGTGCTCTTTCAAAACCTATTTACAGAAAATCATAATATTTTTGGATTTTTGTCCAAAAAGTGGGAGTCAAATATTAAGGAGTATTTCAGTCTTGGTAGAAGAGAATGTATTATGACTAAATTAATTAAATATCATTTAATTGGTAAGTACGCTTACCTGTTCCACAGATGATGGGTTTTTGTATTTAATGTACACATTGACGGTTGTTCTTTCCGGGTGCAGTTCGTTCTTGATCACGGCCAACTTGGGAGTGACACGAGCATCCTTCACTGGTACTGTTCTTATTCTAGAATAATTTATAGAAAATAAAAGTTAGTGTGGGCATTTCTATATTAAACATATTAGAATTATCCACTTAGGAATTTATACAGATGTAATACTTTAAAAACAGTTTAAGTAAGACCTCACCTAACTGTCTCGATGTCTCCGTATTTGCTAAAGATTTTCTTAACTTCTTTCTTACATTTCTTAGTGAATAAAACATTTCCTACAAAAAGAGTCCTTTTGATCTCATCTTCCGTCCTTGGTTCGCCTGATTTGTCTTTATTTTCCGCTTTCTTGGTTTCCAGAGTTTCCTCCTCGTCAGAGCTCTCTTCAACCGGGCCGGTGTCTAGCATCTCCTTATTTGCTTCTTCGTTTTCAGACACTATTTCATCGTCTGATTCATGTTCTGAGTCTGAATCTTTATCGGTTATTGCATTTGGGTTGACAAAACTTTTGTTTTTGTTTTTCTGCTTTGTTTCTGTACTAACTGAGGTGTCTTCAGCCTGTGATGGATTTTCAACTGTATTTTTTTGTGCTTTTGATTTTTTTTTCTTATTTTTCTTTTTCTGACTCTTACTTAGATTAACTTTTTTATCAGATTCATCAACATTTGATTGATTTACAGACTCTTCTTGGGCAATGCTCAATTTTTTCTTCTTTTTAGAAGGAGTTTTTTTCTCATTCACATTTTCTTCATTTTGATCAACTACCTCACTGTCTTCTGACAATCGCTTTCTGTTTTTCTTTGGAGATTTACTTACTTCTTCCATTTCTACAGTTTCCTCGCTAACTTGACTAGTTTCTGCAACGCTTTTCTTATTCTTCTTTTGTTTTTTCGGTGTAGTTTCATTGGCGCTTTGCGGGCTACCAAATTCTTTATTTTTAGATTTTTTTGGAGAACCATCTGACTTTTTCGGAGATTTATTGGTTTTTGAACTTTTGTTAGCGCCATCATCCCCATCCAACTCATCTACAAGGTGTTTTTTTACCTTCTCCGCTTTAGGGCTGGTGTCACTGGAGTTATCGTTATCTGAGGTTACATCCAGATCTGGGTTCTGAAAGATTCTTTTAGGCGATTTTTTGACTATAGCCTTCTTCTTCTGCAGGGTTGGAGACAGGAAAATGGATCGGTCATCCACAAATTCGCTTTTAGGAGTCACATTGGGGGATGGCTGATGTTTTGTAGGTGTCAGGGCTCTGCGGATAAGTTTAGGGCGGTTTGGAGTGACGTTACCAGATATCAAAGCTGCCACGCTGCCGATCACGTAATCCATGATCAATTAAAGGTTAATCAGCCAGAAATAGCGCTATAATCATACAAAATCACGTAAACAAAAATCACGAAGACGAAAAATAGCACATGGTGGCACGGTTATTGACATCTGTCAAAAATTGACAAATTTGAATTAGTGATGTGAACGAACAAAAGAAAACTTGGCAATATCGATAATGGGTTGAAGGATTTTTTTACATTTAGCAGAGCCCCGATTACGGTAACTTTTAACGTCAACAATCCAGACACGCTTCTCGATTCTGCGATACGATTGGTCGTTCAACAGCGTACGTCAGCTGTTTTGACCAATCGTATCGCAGAATCGAGAAACGCGTCTGGATTGTAGACGTTATAAAAGTTACCGTAATCGGGGCTCAGGCTGCATGCAGTCTCTGGTCTGCGGTCACGTCCATAGAGAACGCCACCGCGTCGTCATGAACAAATCAGCCAGTGCCTCGATTGCGCTAATTTTTAACGTCTCCAATACATTGGCGCTCTTCATCAGTTGGGCTCCGTTTTCATTTCAGTTGAGGTGCAAATTCGGTATCACAGTAAAGTTCACGCGCAAACAAAGACGAAACAACGGATTTAATCACTTTCCAATAAAAGTCCAAACACCTTATTATTATTTCACTAAAAAACAACAAAATTAAATGTTCGTGAAGGCGTTTGACTTGAGTTTGAGAAAAAGTAGCTTTCTTTCAGCTTTGACACCAAGATGCAGTTGTTGTTTTCGTTTAGCTGTCTCGGGGTTAGTTATTTGACTGAGTATTATAAGGTTGATTTATTTGAATCCTTAGATTTAGCGGCCCGTCGCGACGCATTGGTCCAAGGCTCGATAAAAATACATAGTACATCACTAATGTTGACAGCTAATTTTTTTCTTAATTTTATGTTATAGCCCTGAGATCAGTATTTTTAGTCAGTCAACAAAAAAAAAACATTATTTTATTATTTCGGTTAAAAAGATATTAATTGTTCGTTGTAACGATTTAATCCAATAAATGTAATGAATGAAAGAAAAAAATAATTTAATTTTTCTTAGAGCTATTTGATAATAATTTAATAAAAGTGTTTGGCTTAAATTTCATAGTGTCAATTCTCTCAATGCTTAATCAACACCTTTAAAAAAATTAATGAAAGATTATGGTGGTTTGGTCCGGTAACGACGCTTTCGCGAATTATTAATTTATTTAAATTAATTACTCGTGTGTTTTAGTGTAAATTGAAGTCTGTGTTAATAAATCGTGTTACGGATTGATTGTTCAGTGTAACGGTGAGTAATAATATTGTTATTACTTTGAAATGTAGCGTAGTTTGTCGCGCCATAACGCCGCCCGCCATTCTATCGGTTTATTTTTTCGTATTATCTTTTTATTTGTATGTTTTGGTCATTCTGCACGTTATTTAGTACTGTTTTTAGTGGGTATGCTATTTAATCTCCTGTTACATGAATTACGAGTTTAAGTTCGTAGGTTATAAACAAAGCACGCTTAATTGATTGTAATGTAATGTACTTTAGAATTTGTAATTCAATACCCATTTGCTTCGACGTTTTGCTCCGTAGATCGCGTGGTACGCTATTTTTCTTCATGGTTTCCTCCCAGGACGCTCAAAAGTACAGGATTTTATGTCCATGGTTCAGTCTCTACCAGGAAGTGGCCTCATTATGCCGATTTTTTGCGTCTTCTCAAAGTTAGGTTAACGTTCTTAACTCGTTCGCCTTATTTTTTCTATTAGCATTTTTGTTCTGAAGGCCCCATAACCTTGGGCGACAATTTGCCCATTAAATGATGCCAATAAGTATCCCACATAATTTTAATAATGTAACTTCTTGTATCTTACTTAACCATTATGTCACAAGTCCTAAAACTGGATTTACTGAACTTGTAAGCTAAATTAATTAATTTAACCCTCCGTGTANATTACATAATGTTATAGTGACCATTGTTTACTGATTAAACAATAATATCACTTCTTAAGTTTAACCACTTTCCTTGTTTACACAATGAAAAGGTTTTCACCACATATTTCCTTGTTTACACAATATAAATAAATGTTCTATCTTGTGTACTAGTTCAATTGATTGTTGGTTCTAGTCGTATATTTATTTTGAAATCTAAGTAGAAATGAGAATTGAATTACCTACATATACACAAAGAAAAAATATCTGGACATTTCCTTTGAAAAACATAGGTAGGTTAATTAGTACTGGTCAACAGCACTGGACTAGGGGTGATTCGTACGTATCTAGTTAGTAGGTACTAGGTATACCTACTTTGAATTTTATTCTATTAATGACGTAGACACAAAAATTTTAAATAATGAAATGACAAATATTAGAAAGTTAAAGCGCACTAACCTGCTAGTAAAGTTTAATTAACCCAGTTTACGGCACCTGCTATCGCGGGTCAGGCCAAATGTGTTATCAGTCATGTTTGTTTACGTTTGATAGTGATTTGTCTCTGTGGACGTAGCATACATTGTTGAGATTAAAATTGCATTTGTAAGTCATTTCTTAAATAAATTTTGTTAAAATTGCTTTTTTTTGTGAAAGACACAACTGTATGTTTTTGTGTCCTTGTGCAACTAAAGAACTCGAAACCAAGCAAGTTATGGCTAAAAATTGCTAATAACTTGGCCTTTATGTTTGTTATGTTTGCACTCACAAACCATTATAGCTATGTTTTATGAAATGCATATTTTAGCATTGGAAAGGATCGCTACATTTTTTTCATTAAGAAAAACTTGAAAGGTGAAGTAAGATAATTAAAGCCATCATTACGCAACTAACAATATGAAAATACATAGGTATTCAATTCAAGGTACTAAGATGTACCTTAATATGTAAACTTAAGAATAGTCCTCATTTTATGATCGTCTTTTTAGCCGCGTCGTGTTACACGTGAGTACTTTCGTTAGCAGACCAAAATTCACGTTTACTACGATTTTTTAATAAAATCCCTGTATCCTTTATGAACTTATAGGTAGGTTATTCTCGGGAGCGTAACGTGTGTCCCTTCGTATCAAACCGCTGATGCGTGCGAATCACTCATCCGACACCAAGGACACAACCGGTATAGAACAGCTAGCTTGTCTTACAATCATTCATCGTATCGTCGTTTTACAACTTTGATTAGTTGTGGTTCCAGCAGACTGGAATAGGACCAACTCCTCATAGTACTTATCGTCGTCGTCTTAGATTAAAAGGTCGTCGTATAATGATTGCTCAGCTGTGGTTACAGCACTTCCAGCAGACTGAAGGAGGAACAACTCCACTCTTCCCGTGGATGTCATAAAAAGCGACAAAGAGACAATAATGCGAAGATCAGTACAATTCGAGACAATTTATCGGTTTAGCGCGATAAGCCCATACATTTGTCGTCTAAAATCGTCGATGAGATTTTATCATGGCGCGCTACTATTCCGGCAGGCCTCCTCACCAATCCGCCTGGTTAGCGTGGCAGGTAGTTCGTCTAAACCCTCATGTGTCATTCGTGTTCCTTCTTTGTGTAAAAAAGTCTATTGTCAAGTCGTCAAATTACGAATATCCCATACGCGCCGATATACTAAGAACCACTAAATAAATCAGGTGTCTTCTGCTTGCATGCCTTATCTCAGTTTTAATTTTAATAAATGCTTGTAAAAAGGTTTTGGTCACGACTCGAAGATAAATCTGACCTGGCTGTCATATACGGCATGTGACTCAGTTATGGTGTAATTTATAGCAGGAGGAAGGTTGATGGGTCCAATAATAACATAATTTTATTTAACCCGTTTATATCCACCCTGTATTTTATCGAATTATAAATATCGCTGCTTGCCATATAAAGTATTGAAATTATACCAAATGATTTTAAAAGATGAGGTTAAGTGCTGGTCCGCGTCGCTTTGATACGAAAATGACTTAACTATTCAGTGTAATATTTCTCTTGCAAGATTAGTTCATTCAATACTTAGTTGTAATTTTATTCACTATTTTTGTTTAATCTTATTATGGTCATAATAAAGCTTTCCTCTCCCACTCGCATTGCGAATGGTTTGCTTGTATAGCCTCAGCAGCCTAATGTCGTAGATATTCGTGATATTAAGAAAATTATGTGGATAGAGACTTGACTCTCACATTACGCAAATACGTATTAGACTCTACACAAAGCCACCGACACATGGCGAGGCGTCTAGGTGTCGCCGGTAATATTATAAATGTCGCACATTATCTGCCCGAATTAGGTGGGAATATCAATCAACATCATCAATCTCCGTCTTTGAGTATGTTTTCAATATACGGACAATAGAAGTAGGTACGACCTTGCTTGCTATTATGTGATGTGATATCGTTCAGTTATTCCGAAATTAGGGAGAGAAAACACACTTTAACTGTGTTTAGTTCAATTGTAAGCAGATTTTAACATTTATAAGGTATTTATGAGGCCATAGAAAGAAAGTACATAGAAAAATCCTATTATTCTGTGTCTTTCTATTTATGGGTAACCGAAAACGAAAAAGCTATTTTCAGATTCAGACCAAGAGAAAATCCTACCTTCATCTGCCATTCCAAATCATGAGTATTGCAGAAACACGGAGGCTCAGAATTAACATATTCAAATACATTTGCAAAGATTTACGTGCGTTTCAAAGGTCAGGAAAGATTTCCATTTTACATGTCCCAATGGATACTTGAGTTGAACGTCTGGACTGAATAGCACTTGCCATTATTTGCTTGGTGCAGTGATACATCTAGCATTGTGCCCTAATAGGGAGCTGTAGGGCTGACAATGATTTATTTATGTGTACAAGGAACATACTAAATTATACGAAACTATAATATTTTTAACCGACTTAGTTCGACAAAAAGGGGAGGTTCTCAAGGTGAAGATCAAATGACGAGAACACTTCTCCAACGTATTTCTTCCGGTATTTCTAGGTTTTCGATATTTTATGTCTACTATCGGCTACAGTTCCTCCAGCACGTTAATACTATCATAGTATTAACGTGGTTCCAGCTACCCATTTCCGGTCATGTCGTCTCGTTCTATCGTAAAGAATCACCATTTAATGGGAGGGAGAGAAAACACGTTGAAACGCTAGCTGGAAGTGAGGCCGATAGTACGTGTGAATTTACGTAGTATTGTAATTACCATAAAGTGGGATTTAAGCCAAACAATGACAAGATGTATTAAACATTTTGCAAATCAGGTAAAATAGCCATGGGCTGGGTAAGTAATTACCTATTTATGTGTACGGTTCTCCAGTAAATATCGTACCTTTGATTTTATGATGACCTGTTGCTCTGTCCTTACTTAAACTTTACATAAAAGGATGATAATGTAAATTATTACCATGATTACCTTCCACAAATGTATTCAGAAGGATGAAAAATCTTTTTTCGACGATATTCTTGAAATCATTGAATACCCCACTCCTCAGTAGATAACATTATCTTTATCTTTATGAACAAAACTCGGTTTTAACATTGTCAATGTATCGATGCTTATCTTAGACAAGACTTTTCATGCACGGACAGCATCCAGGTCAAGTTTTTATCGAAAGTATTTATTATTTTCAAGAGCACATCTACCTTGACTAGAATATAACGTGCGTTTTGACTCGCATTTAAAGTTCGTAAATCAGTCAAGCATTTATTATTATTTTAGACCTCTGCATAAACATGTCAAAATCTTTTGACAGTGCCCAGATGTTAACATTGACAAAGAGAACCAATGTTTTTGCTGATCCCTTGCCCACTTGCCCTTGACTATGGTTTGGCAATATTCCATCACCATCAGCTAACTTTTTCTACTATAATAAACGAGTCTTTGAACGATCCGTCTTCATTCTTGAATTTCGTTTTAATCCATGGAATTACTAACTAATCCATTCGCCTCTTGGATACGACTGTTTGTTTTAGGTAAAAGCTATAGCATAAATTCTTGGAATTAATGCTAGCGTAAGAGGCTGGTTTTGCAAGATTCTTAAGTGGTTTTCATGTGGTAGGAGTACGAAAGTTTTACAGAATACTTCAGAAACTATAACTCTTCTTTTTAGGTTGCATCTCTACTTTTTACAGTGAACATCCATGTACAGTTATAATTAGGAAAGATGAAGAAATACTACAAAAATCATGGAACCTTGTTTCATCATCATCATCATCATTTCAGCCACTGGACGTCCACCACTCCTGAGGTAGAATTGTGTAAAGCAATCGATTTCATTTGACGGTTCATAACGTACGATTATTCTGTCAAACGCTTTGTTTAACTGACTTTATCGTACGTT